TAGAATGATTTGTTCTAATGGTGTTTGTAAATAGGATCTCAAGTTCGTATCTTGTACAGCAATTAACCACTAAGAATATATGCAGTGTGTTAAATATTGAAACTGTACTACCAATTTGATTTGAAACTGTCTCATTGCTATCTGTTTATCAATAAAATTTTGAAAAATAAAAAAAATAAAATTTTGAAAAAAAAAAGAAAAAGAAAAACACCATAGCCCCCAAAAATGTAATTAATGACTGTGAACATTAGATAATTTTGTTAGAATTTTTGAAAGTAATTTCTAATTATCCTAAGATGATTTCTAAGAATTTTTTAATGAATATTTCCCTCATTCAGGTTTTGTTTTTTTTTTGTGTGTGTGTGTGTATTTTTTTAGGGAAGTGTCTACAGGGTGTTCAGGGTCTCATTGCTAGATTAGACTCATAGTGATCCGCATGTTTACAGCCTCCCAAGTGCTGGGATTACAGGTAGGCTCCATCATGCCCAGTCTCAATTGCCCTCTCAGCAGGCCTGGGGATGGGGCTGGCACAGCAGACTCAGGGATCAAACCCCTGGCTCCTGAGCCTGCTTGCAGGCTCTTTAAATCCGAGTTATTTGGTTGGCCCTTAGCTCATTCAGGTTTGATTTGAACTTAATATTTTATTTTTTTAAAAAACTATCAAATGGATAGGCCTCAAGGCATAAATGTGATGGAGATTTGCTGTTGTTTGGAGGTCCCAGGCAAGGTTTGCTTGCATGGAAAGTGTCTGAGCTTAGCCAAATCTGCTGTTCAGAAGAGAATATAAGGCCCTTCTGCTCCGCCACCATGAACAGCCATTATCTAGATCGCCTATGTGCTTTCCAGTTGACTATGTTATTTCTACCTATAGTTGCCTTTAAATTATTAGGGGGAAATTCAAGAAGAATGAATATTCACCGAGAGATGGCTCCATGCTCTCCCGAAAAGGAGAAATGGAGTAAAAACTGAGTGTGTTCATTTAGGAGGCACGTTTTCCCAGCAGCGTGTCAAGGCAGGCGGGAGTCAGCTGCGCGGCACGCAGGAGTCGCGGAGATCGCAGGTGGCTAGGCTTACCTCAGCTGCTTGAGTCTGTGCAGGGTGATGATGCAGAATATCAGGAGGGGAATGAAAATGAGGAGGGTCATCAGCGCGATGCCCACCATTAATTTCAGCTTCAGAGCCTCTAGGTTTGATAGCTTTTCTTCTACATTCGTACTGTTCACATCAGAGCCTGAGAGGACGCAAAGAAAAGACCATTGGAAACTGCGTTCTGAGCTTCCTGGGGTAGAAGAGAAGGCAGCGCCACTGCGGGCCATCTGCGGAACTCCCGCTCGCTCCCACACCCAGGCGAGCCAAGAGGAGGCCGCCGCCCCAGCAAGCGCTCTTTCCCCTTTCCCATTCCTGCCAACCTTGGATTAGCTGCCTGCGGCTCCGTGTTATAGGAGAGGCTTAGGGATTTCCCCTGAGACATAACCAATAAGTAGCAAAATCTTGACTTTAGACCTCAGTTACCACATGCCAAAATAGGTGTGTAACAGACATCTCCCTAGACTCCAATCAGAGTGATCTATCACCTGAAGAGATTTTGGTTACTTTCCGTACAAGGGACAGTCCCACAAGAGAGAAAGGTACGAGCTTTACTGGTGCACGCCCTGATTTCCTCTAAAACAGTATGATGCACTGAAGCGGATGGGTGAAATTGCAGAGCTAAGTCTGGCTTTTTATTACTGAGCAGTTTAAAGCCAGTGTGCCAGACATTACCAGAAAAAGGAAGGAACTTATTAAGCTTTCTATGATGAGTAATAAAATCATATCCAGAAATAAAGCCTAGTTTTAAAAGACTGCACTGTGTATCCTAGACACCCTGTCCTGTTTCCTCTATCCATTTGGGAACAGAAGCTATGAAACTGGTAGCAATCACTTGCAACATGATAACTGGAGGATGCTCAGGACACATGATCAGAATCAGGAGATCCATCTTTTGCAAAAGGGAAGAGGATGGAAGATGGATGGAAGGGAGTAAGAGGGGAGGCAAAGAGGAGGGAAACACATGGATCGTGTACATGCAGCAACTCCTCACAAGGCCTGTGATTGCTAGCGAACAGAAAATCCAAGCCAACACGTACCAAGCCCCTGTGATGCATGGATTCATTATGCCTGCAAATACGTACTAACAAAAACTGAAAAAGAGAACTGTGACTCTCCTAAAATAGTAAATGTCCCCTCTAATACAACCTTGGCTGTCAGGATGCCCTCCTGTATTCACTCCCGAGCTAGGGAAAATAGGGTCACCTTGCAGCCACTAAAACGTGACTATTATGTATCTGTTCATTGAAGTTCTTTGTTCTTACCTGGAATTGGTTGCAATAACTGATTACCACCACCGGTGACTGCTGTTGATCCATTTATAGCTGTTAAAATGATGCATTTGTGTTAGGGCAAGCAATCACCGGGTAACAATATTCTATCTGTATAAATATGTGTGATAACACGGTCAGCTTGTGCTCATTATTCACGACGGTTCTTATGTGCAGTACGAGCACTATAAGCCTGCATCAAGCTCATCTGTCCAGCACACGGACCTTCTCCATGCACGCATTACAGGCTTGTTGCATACAGGAACATTCAGTGTGACACTCGGGGGCCAGGTCAAGGTGTGACTGTAAGTGTCAGGCACAAATAGTTATTGGAATCTCTGCCAGTGCTCACAAATGAGCTTGAAGTTGTTATAAGTATTGACTTTTAGGTGACAGAGATCTTTGTGAGTAGGTGGTACAGAATCAGATAGAGTATATACAGTGAGGAGTGACTGAATATGGTATAGATTTCACATTTATTATGGATACAGAAGGATATGTATGATCTAATATGTTCATATGTAAACACTTTCTGCATTTTTATATAAACATGTATAGGATGATATGTATGTTGCATTACATATACAAAGCTGTATGCATTTATATTTTACTTTTATACAGGTACATATTTTTATATACACTATGCATTTATATGCATTCCTGTGTTCTATGCTGACATTGTTCCAAAGATGACATGGGTCTTTACTAGGCAAAAATAGACTTATGTAAAGCCTGTCATCATGACTTGAGTGACTGGATTTTATCTTATTTATTTATTTACTTATTTATTTTCATTTGAGAGGGGGTCTTGCTGTGCAGTTCAGACTGGCCTAGAGCTCACTTTGTAGCCCAGGCTGGTCTTGAACTTGCAACAATCTTCCTGCCTGAGCCTTCTGAGTGCCGAGTGCCAAGTGCCGGGGTTACAGGCATGTGCCACCACACCCAGCTTAGATTTTAACATTTGTAAGAGAATAAAACTTTTTTGTAAAAGAATGTAAAAAACAATGTGAGTTTAGTACCTCTCTGGTTTTTTGCTGTTACTTGCAGCAGCCAAACCTTCACTTGTTGATTCTTAGTATTAGATGTATTAAGATTGACCTTGGATTTTTTTTTTTTTCAGTACCAAGGATTGAACTTGAGACCTCAAGCTTGCCATGAGCTATCTTCTAGACCCCAGACCTTGGCTTTCTTACATAAGAAATTAGAAAACCAAAACATTTCTCCAACTATCTAACTGGGTACTTACCTTTAGCTAACATTGTCCAAAATGCAGGCACATTTGGGGTTGTTTCTGGTTTAAAAAAAAAGAATAAAAATTAAGATTTGATTGTCTTGAAAAAAAAATAAAACTTACTTCACTCAAGTCATTAGGGAGCCCATCATGGGTTGTTAGGACTTTAGCTATTTTATAAGGAACAATATTTTTGGCAGGAAAGTAAACTAGTGATTCTTATTTTGAAGCTTCCCATTCCCAGAACCACTCCATGGAATAATTTTAAGAAACGTTAACCATTGTCTCTAATCAGAGATACATTTATTCCTTAAAACAGATAGAAATTTTTGCATCATTATCAGCATAAATTAGGTTTATAATGTATTAGTCAGAGTTATATTTCTAGAAATACAAATTATATATTTATATGAATAAACTTATGTTTAAATTTTATTTTATGTATTTTAAAAATATAATCACTTATAAATATAATTTTATGTAATTACAATACATTGATTAAAGTAAATTTAAACTTCTAAAAAGCTGTTGCTATGCTTTTTTGGATATACCTAAAAATTTACTGTCAGACATTCACCACTCACAAGATTTTAGTTATTTTAAAAATACAGCAGTGTAAACACTTTAAGCATACTACTTCTTTATGCTATAGTCAGAGTAGTGACTCCTAAATTTTCAAGTAATATAATTATGTGGTTAAGAATAAATACATCAAAATAATTTTAATACTTTGTTTATTTCTAAGAAAGCCTTCATCATCTTCTTCCTCAAAATTTTTGTCCGCAAGCGTTGCACTAATTCCAGCTATGAAAAGAGAGAAAGGATTATCACATATACACATGAAATAAATATTTGAAAATAGGTGTACTGTAATGATAAAAAGGAAAGACAAGAGAGGGAAGAAATTAAAGGCAAAGATATTGATATCTTCTTGAAATAACAAAAAATGGATTTTCTTTTTTTCTTGCTCCGAATTCCTTCAGGGCAAATTTGGCTGGCTTGAGTTGTGGGGCTTGAACCCCAGCAACCTGAGCCTGACTGCTTTGTTGAAGCAGCCACTTAAAGAACTGAGCTAAAGGGCAGGCCCCCAAAATAACAAAAAATGGAAAGGAAGTAGGCAGAGAAGAATAACATTTCTGTGCTCATGTGTTGCCTTGGGTGAGATTAAAGTTCCTAAATTGTGAGAGAGAAGAAAAACAGGGATGTTGAGACCACAGCTTCCCACAGAGGAGAGGAGAGCAGTTAGCTTGGATGATTGGTTTTCCTAAGTTCCCTGCACGGGCCTTGACATGAGAGTCACATTACCAAGTGGCCTGGCTCTTGCCAGGATAAAGAGTTTGTCTATTGGGAAAGTGTTTTGAGTGTAAAGATTGGGGACCTAAATCTAGAGTGTGTCCCTCTGCAGGGGTGTCACTGAAAAAGTGTCTGGTAATAATCATGCCTCAAGAGCCATTTCCCCCTCTGTAGTTGACCATGGTAGTCAACTTTGCTGAATACAGGAGTCAGTACAGTGGTGTCTTGGTTCATGAACTTAATTCTTTCCACAATTCTGGTCGCAAAATCAGATAAGAATCAAGTCAAATTTCCTGTAAGGTTAACACTGAACTTGACCATTGAATTCGAGTGTAAGTTCAATATGTACACAGACTACCTCATAAAGGAAGAGTTCTACAGAGAGGCAGAAATGAATTCAAGCGCAGCCCGCATACCTATTATAGGTATCCAGCTGACAAGAGCAGATGGAGAAGGGTTGTTATTACTGGAGTTGACTAAACTGGCTGTGCTCCCATTATGGGGGTCGGAGAGGAGAGGAGAGGAGAGGAGAAGAGAGAGAGAAACAGCTTGTTCCCTCACTTTACCCCCCTTGCCCTCAGAACTGTAAGAACCATACTTAATCCACCTTTAGTCAAAATTATCCTAGAAATCTTTATTTCCTTGAGGCCTTTGTCCTCTAGGCTGCCCCTACCACGCATGCATGCACGTTGTCACAGCCTCTGTTAAATGGCAGGAATTTCTCACCTCAGGCTCTCTCTCTCTCTCTCTCTATATATATATATATATATATATATATATATATATATATATGCAGTGTGTGTGTGTTTTGAATGATCCTTCCTCCAAATTATAAAAATATTTAATTTATTTTCTTGACCGCCTCTGGGACCTGAACTGTGGGCATAGAAATCAGGATTTTGGGATCAAATCTATAGGTCCTATGGTTCACAAAACCTTCGGGAATTTTAGGGACATGGTCTGCTTTGGAGCTGGCTTTCTCAATCTTGTCCCAGATCATTCAAGATGCTATTCAACATGCACAACAAGATTCCCATGAAGGATTATCTAATTAATGTCTTCTCTGGAAATATCATTGTCTCATGTTTGGAATTATTCAAAATATCCCAGTAGCTTCATTAACAGGCATTTCATGAGCTTGGCTTGTTCCAGTGTTAAAAAGATACTAGAAATTATCTTCATTGTTCAAAGATGTTGAGTGTAAAAACAAGGCAAAAATATGAATTTAATAAACATAATTTTCTAGATACTTATAATTTTTCTATGCAAACCAAATATACTAGGTGCAGACCCCACCCCACCCCAGCTGTTTGAGTTGTCAGCGCAGTGTCCTGGAGCTGGGGGCCATGGTGTGGTACACTGCAAACAAAACCAAGAGGAGGATCCAGAGCTGAGCCAAGCCCAGAGTCACAGAACGGAGCTGGGAAGCGTCCAAGCTGATTTAAGAGCTAAGGTTTCTTCCCTCCACAACCTCACTGGTGCTGCTTGGAAATCCTTATTTAAGGGGTTTCATCCATGCCATCAGTACTCACAATTCTTTAGAGAAAGACTCAGATCTGTTGTTGCTCTCACGGATATTTCAAACACAGTGCCATTTGGATTTTGTGTGGTGAACACATCTAAAAAAAAAGAAAGTCTTGAATACCTAGTTGTATCAGTTGTCCATTACCTTTTTTGTTTATATGATTTTTGTTAAAAGTTTATTGAATGATCCTTCCCCCAAATTATAAAAATATTTGATTTATTTTTCACACTTAAGAAAGTGAGAGCAGGGGTTACAGTGAAAATCCTGGAAAGAAAACCAAAATAATGTCTTTAAGCCCAAGGACTGAGAAACAATTTAGGAAGAAATTCACACTGCGTGTGGTGGTGCGTGCCTGTAATCCCAGCTCTTGGGAGGCTGTAAACAGGTGGATCACTATGGTCCAATGTAGTAGTGAGACCCTGAACACCCTGTAGACCCTTCCCTAAAAATACCTCCCCTCAAAATAAGTAAATAAAGATACTTAAGCACCTTTGAATGTTAGCAGTAGGATGGGAAAGAGCTCTTAATGTACATAGAAAAAAATTAATAAATTGGATATAAAAATAGGACAAGATTGTGAACAAATAATTTGTAGAAGCAGAAATAAAATTGCCTAAAAATAACAAGAAAAATATTCAACTTCAAAAGTATTATAGTGCAAGTAAATATATTTCTCATCACATTCACAAAATATTCTGGTTGCACACATTCACTATAGACAAGGTTGTGGATCATGGGAGAGCACTGTGTGGTGTCTATCAGTACTTCAAAAGATTTACCCCATCTTCGGCAATTTCAGGAGTTGATATCTAGCTTGAGAGAAACCCCTAAATTTGTGTAAGAAAGGGATGTATGGAGAAGAAATGTCAGTAATTCTCTAACAAGATAATGAATTAACCTTGTTTTATAGACCAGTAGAGTACAGTACAGTACAGTAGAGTATATAGTATAGCCTCCCTCTCTCTGGGAGGCTGAGGCAGGAGGACTGCAAGTTTGAGCCTAACTAGGGACTTAGCAAGACACTCTCTTGCAAAAAACAGAAAAAAAAGAAAAAAAGAAAAGCTAGTTCACTGCAAAAGCCCAGTACTTAAAACATAACAAGTAATAAAGCAGACATGAAAAGCATTCCATTTGTTAAATGAGAAAAACAAGTTATTACTGTGAACCCTTTTATGTGGATGAATTAAGCATAAAATTTAAAAGACCGCTATTGACTCATCAACAAAACAATATAAGAAGTTGTACATTATAGTTTGCAAGGATCCGTACATGTTTATCTTTATTGTTTTCTATTTTTGATGGTCAGTAAAGATTCCAGCATAATTAAATATCTTGATTTTTAAGCCAAGACTCTCAGGAAATTTTCACTTTTTAGAATGGTGCCCTTGGGGCTGGAGAGATGGCTCAGTGGTCTAAAGCACCTACTTGGAACGGGCTTGGCAAAGCACAGGGACCACGGTTCAATCCCCCAGCACCACATGCCAGTCAGCCCCGCCCCCTGGTGGGCTGAGCTGGCCGTACACACACACAATAAATGAATGTAATAAATAAACATAGGAATATATAGAATGGTGCCCTTCAGGGCTGGTGAGATGGCTCAGTGGTTTAAAGCACCTACTTAGAACAAGCTTAGCAAAGAATAGATTTCTTTCTTTCTTTCTTTCTTGCGTGTGTGGGTGTGTGTGGGTGTGTGTGTGTGGCCAGCTCAGCCCACCAGGGGGGCGGGGCTGGCTGGCATGTGGTGCTGGGGGATTGAACAGCGGTCCCTGTGTTTTTGCTTAGCTTAGCTTGTACTAAGTAGGTGCTTTAGACCACTGAGCCATCTCACCAGCCCCCATAGAATAGATTTCTGTTGTCTCAAGCCTCCTACCACTCAGGGTGTACAGTACTTTGTTTTAGCAGACCTGCGAAACACAAACTCATCTTCAAATAAATAATCACTATATTGTTTATTTTTATTGTGAATAAATAGCTAAATATCTATTTATTGTAAGTAGAAACCATGGCAGATAGAAATGGTTACCAAAATTATAGCCAACAGTCCCTCAGAGAAAGGACTTCTATTTAGAATATAAAAAGAATTTTAAAAGATTGGGCCCCCTAAATTCAAAGACCCAATCGAAAAATGGGGCATCCGAGATGAATATACACTTCTCAGATGAAGAAATACAAATGGCAAATAAATACATGAAAAAAAAATGTTATGTTTCATGTCTAGTTGTCCCTCCAAGGCCTCATGCAATTATGAGGCAGACTTCAAGAATTTGTTATTAACTCATGATCCAGTGCTAGGATTACGGGTGTGAGTGCTGCTGGGATTATGGGTGCAAGCGCTGCTGGGATTATGGGTGTGAGTGCTATATCCAGCCTGGGGCAGATAGTCTGAATGCAACATAGGGGACGCATACTTGCTCTCTGTTGCCGCTGCTGCTGCTGCTCGTGCCAGTTTGCTCTTGCTGTTTTTTTCCACCACCATGAACGGCTGCCCTCTGCCATGTGCCCTCTGTCTTGGAGCCAGCCAAGAATGGACTGAAACCTCCACAAACTGTGAGCTAAATAAACCTTTCCTTCCTTCATTTTGAGTGTTAGCTATTTTGTTCCAGGAACTAGAGAAGAGCAACTGAGACAAACAATATCATTGGTCATTCAAGAGATGCAAATTAAAACAATGCTGAGATTTCATCTTAACCCTGAAAGAAGGGCTATCATCAAGAAGTCAAGGGCTGGGGAGATGGCTCAGTGGAGTAAGCCCTTCCCTGGCAGGCGCAAGGACCTGAGTTCAATACCCGGTTCCAAAAAAAAAAAAGAAGAAGTCAAGCAATAACAAATGCTGGAGGGGCTGTGCCGAAAAAAGAACCTTTCTCCACTGTTGGTGGGAGTGCAAGCTGGTTCAACCTCTGTGGAAATCAGTGTGGAGATTCCTCAGAAAGCTAGGATTGGAAGTCCAATTAAGCCCAGCTTAAATTCCCCTTCTAGATATTTTCCCAAATGAACTGAAAACGTACCACAGTGACCTATATGCACCCATGTTTGTAGCAGCACAATTTATCATAAATCTTGGAAACCCAAATGCCCATCAACCGAGGAATGGATAAAAAAGATGTGGTATTTTTATACAGTGAATATTACTCAGCCATAAAAAAGATAAACTCAAGGCTTTTATAGGTAAATGGATGACACTAGAGACCATATTGGTAAGTGAAGTAAATCAGACCTGCATGTGCAAACATCATAGTGTCTCCCTAGTATAAGAACCTGAAAGACTAAATAAAATCCAAGAAGTACAGTTGATAGTGTAAAAGGGAAAGAATCTATCCAATGGGAAGGAAACACTGGAATGAGGAACAGGACAAAAGAAAGAAGGGAAAAAGATATGTTTATGTATGTGTAAACATATATATATATATATATATATATATATATATATATATATATATATATATATATATATATATATATATATATTCATGTGTAGGATAGCTTGGATAATTGTACTGCTGATTTCTACTGGTCTATTGAAAGGAGCAGTTAATGCTTAAATTCTATTTCTTTTTCTTTTTCTGATTTTGCATGTTTATATCTGGTAATCTAAACAACTAACTTTAAGATAATATTATATAATGCATCAACCATTATTGAATTCTCATTATTTTGTTTGGTGAAATTCTGTATTTTTTGTAATTTTTTTCTTTTTCTTTTACCATTTTATATTCACTTTAAAAAATTAAAAAGATAGATTACCAAGAGAACCTTCTTTAACTTCATAACACCTCTTGAAAAAAGTTGTAGGAAATAAGGAATTAATTTTACACCCTGAAAAGTTTTCTATGTAAGTTAGAATTTAAGAAACCGAAAAAAATTACTGGCAGTTTAAAGAGTTAAGATGTCAAGCAAGAATAATCAGGTTTGGTATACGTTACGTTTAAAGACTTACATTGTTTTATGTCTTTATAATAATTGCCAGTTTTCTCATTAGCAGGAATGTCATCCATATTTTTTTCTCCATGAGTAGCAAAGTTGTGGGCCATGTATTGCTCTTCCTGGATATCCTCAGCTAGGGATTTCACATCAGATAACTCTAAAAAAGTACAACACACCAAAGAGCACAGATATGGTAAAGTTCTTTTACTTTATTTTTTCCCAGTATTTTTCATAAACAATTTGGGTAGATTTAAAATCTAAATTATTTCATATGTCCAACTAAAAACTACACCAGTCTGTACAAAATCACCAAATGGCAATTTTCTATGATTAAGAGTATTTTTTCCCTACCTATTTTCTATGAAATTTTAAAATTTTACTCACCTTTCATAGCAGGCTTGGAACTCGTAATCTCTGAGGAATAGACCCCAGATAAAAACATAAATAATACAACATTCATTGAGAAATTGATGTGGGCTTTAATCTACTATTTCTTCTCCGAGCTTCCTTCCTGTGGCACAGCAGGAAGTGATCTGAAGGCTAGATAGGCCTTTATGACCTCACTCCTCCTGAAAGTCAGAATGCTGGAGAGGATTCCCCAGAGCTTTGTGACTCTGTCCTGAGTGTTTCACCTTTGGTTTTTGTTTTTGTTTTGTTTTGGTTTTTTTGTAGAAACGGGGATCGACTCAGGCCCTTGTGCTTGCCAGGGAAGTGCTTATCCACTGAGCCATCTCCCCAACCCCATCACCTTCGATATTGTGATGACATTTAGACTAAAAAAACCTACCATAAGATTTTTTATGAAAATTAAGGGCTAGTTTCCATGCATGAATATTAATTACTAGTTCATTGCTTTCAAAGAATCATTCTTATTGTCGATAGTAAAACAAAAACGGACCTTTTGGCTTCAAATATTTATAAGATTGTATATTCTTTTAGATACTGCAATCACAGTACCTACTTAGAAAAAACAAAACTCAATATAAATTTGTCTTGCAAATTCTTTGGAAAATGTTTTTAAAATTCATTTGTTTTTAGTTTTTAAGGCCTATATAATTAATAAAACATAAAATATTTATTTTGTTTAGTACATTTTTAATCAACCAAACTCATCTTTCACATTCCACAACGATTTAAAAAAGACATAGTATTTAGTTGGTCTTGGGTAGAGATAATATTAATATTAGGTAGAAGGAGACTTACATAGAGATAATGTTAGTCATTTCTTATTCATACAAATTAAGTAATGAATAATGGCAGGATACCAAATGGATGGATGTTATTGCTCCTCTTAATTCATTTAAAAATTAATTAAGTTTATCCATACAATAATTTTAGATATACCTAATGATTACATTTATCATAATGAATTTATATCTCTACATGATATATCTTGATTCTTCTCTTTTTCCTATTGTACTTTCCTTTCAGCCCTTCTTCCCCTCCTTATTTACAAAAGCTTTGTTTCCATTTTTTCCTTCTGTTTTTTTCTTTTTCCTTCCTCCCATTCCCCTTCTCCCCTCTCTAGTTCCCCTTCTTATTTGAACATTTTCTTCCTGTTTCATAATATCAATTATACATTGTGCTCTTTATTTTTACTTGCAGTTTCTCACACCTTCATAAATAACAATGTGATATTTGCATGTGTGTCTGATTTATTTCACTTAAAAGTATGGTGTCAAGGTCTGTTTTAGCTCTAAATGCCTTGTTTATCCTTCTTTATGAGTGAGTAGTACTCCATTACATTAAAAAAATCTTCTTTTTCCATTTATTGGTTGATGGGCATTTGGGCTGTTTCCAAGATTTTTCTATTACAAACTATGCTGCTAAAACTATGGATGTGCATACAGTGATGTGGTATGATATTTTTCAATTGGGAAGATACCAAGAAAGGCACTAGCTAGGTCAAAGGGAACTTCTACTTTCACTGTTTTGAGGAATCGTCACAGTGATTTCAAGAAGGTGTTACTTAATTTCCAAGTTTTTCTTAAGCTTTCGTGGTGTCTTTTGCCCTTGATTTTTCAATCAAATTGCACTGTGGTCTGATAATGTGCATGGAGAATTTCAGTCCCTTTCCTTTTACTTAAGCATGTTCTGTGAGCTAGCATGTGCTCTGTTTTGGAGAATGTCCTTTGTGTAGCTGAGAAAAATGTGTATTCGAATGTTGTGGAGTGGAACGCTCTAGTCATCTAGAGTTCATTTATTCAAAAGTTGGATTTAGGTCTGTTGTTTCACTGTAATTTTTTGCCTAGTTTATCTATTTGTTACAGCGGGATGTTCCGTTCCCCCTTTGCAGTTGTAATAGTGCTTGTTTGATTTTTCATATCCAATAACATTTTATATAGTTGGGTGCTTTGGTATTTGGTGCATACATATTTATGATTGTTATCTCATTCCCTTGGAGTGTTCCCTTTATAAGGATATAATATAAGGATATAGTGGCTTTTTTTTTTTTTTTGTCTGTCTTAATCAGTCTTGGATTGAAATCCACTTTGCCTGCTTTTTCCAGGTGTTTTCCCATTGAGTTGTTTTCCATCCTTTGACTTTCTTGCATGCAGCACATTGTTGGTTTTTGTTTCTTGATCAATCCTGCCAGTCTGTTTCTTTTGATTTGTGGATTGAGACCATTAATATTGATGTTTATAACTGATATGTACGGAGTTATCCTTGATATATGATTTTCCTGTTGTTGGCTCTCCCTAGTCAGTTGTTTTTCCTGATAAACCAGGACTGAGATTGCCTAAGGGTCGTATAAAATACCATCTGCCAGGGCCAGTGACCAGAGGCTTGGTCAGGTAGGCAACAACTTCTCATTCTCAATAAATCAAAGGGGTAGTATCTTGCAGTGGACTCAAAGCCCACAATCCAGTTGCACCTGGCTCTGAGAAGTAGTCTTTTCCCAAGTTGTAAATATGACCAACAAAGTTACTCAACCAGAAGCAATTTGTAAGTATAAACCCAGGAATTAAACTTTTTAAAAAATAGAAAATGAGAAGACACTTAAACATGATGCACCCTAAGCTTCTAGCTTACCAAAGGCAAATCCAGGAGGCAATGAGGAGGAACAACTTCAAAGCTCCCCAGCTGGACTCTCTAAAGGGTTGACAGCAGAAGTAGCAAATCAGATGAATGAGTCAAATCAGAAATAATTTTCAGATAATTAAAGAGGTGGTGAGCATAATGAAAGACATGCTTAGTAACTCTAGAGCTGAGGGCAGAAGAGATGGCTTAGTAGAATAAGCACTTGCCTGGCAAGTGCGGGGTCCTGAGTTCAATCCCCGGTACTGAAAAAAAAAAAAAAAAGAGTTACTCTAGAGCTGATACAAATAAAAAATAGAGGAGCTTAAGAAAAGGATGGAAACCATGAATGTCATTTCTTAGGGAAAATAATGGAATTCATGAAACATTCCTGCAGATATCCAGGATAAAAATTCCATAAAAAGTACATGCAACAGAATGAGCCAGAGTGAGGACAGAATTTTAGCTACACAAGACAGGATTAATATTAGCAACTGTGAAAATACGGATTTTTTAAAAATAGCAAGGGACCACAAGAAATTAATCCTTGGCTGAAGTGGTAACAGTTAGCAGTAAGAATAGCACCAAACAGCCTGGAAAATGACAAACTGGGGTAAGTATCAATTTGCCACCTTTCACCATTTGAACTAGATTTGGGGCTATATGTCGAAATATGAAATGAAACAAAACTGTGCATAGTTTAAAAAAAAAGTCCTCAATATGGTGATTTTATCTTTAGGAGAGAAAATTTAAAAGAGATTGGGGAAAAAAATGGAGAACTGGAAGAAGAAGACGACATTAGAAGCAAGGCTGGAGGAAAAGGAAGATGGCCCACACTTTTGGAAATGCACAAGGAAGACAGAAGGGAAAGATGAAGGAGAAGAAAACAGAACAACAGCAACAACAAAAATACTAGAAATGTGTTCATGCCAATATAAAAACAGAAACAATAAAACAAGTGAAACAAAAAAAAAATGAAGAGACAGAGAGGAAAAGAAAAAAGAAAGAAAGAAAGAAAAAAGCCCACTTCAGGGTGTGTCACTGATAGACAATGTGGGTTGACTGAGTCCAGATCTGAGTTCATTAATCCCAGTAAACCAGCCCTAGCTTTACAGCGGGGCAGTGGGTAACCTCAGCAAGCCTGCGCCTTTAGTCCCACTGAAGCTCAGGCTGGTTCCTGGCTGTGGGGATGGAATCAGGTATTTTCAGCCTGCAACAGCCTGCGTCTCCTGAAGCTGTGAACTTCAAAGTTTGAAGTGGGAACTCAGCTCCCTGCGCCCTGGGGACTTGAATTTCGCAGCGCGACCCTGTCCCTGGCAGCCACCAGATGGAGCCCGTCCGCAGAGTTCTGAGCTCAGTTGGTCCTCCAGGCTGGCTTCTGGCCAACTGCCTGCCCGGCCGAAAGTCTGAAGCTAAGCAACCCCAGCCACTGCGGTATTCTGGGTCCTCAGCTCCGCTCCACCTGGACGTCTATCCGTGGAGGCCGCCGCGGTGGCCAGCCATCACCATGCGTCCGCAGTTTCGAGCTTCCCTTCCACACAGTGAGTTTGGACTGCGGAGAAAGTGCCACCTGCCAACTACTCCTTCTTCATCGGAGTCTCTTCACTCTCCCCGTGGCTTCACTTGCTGATTCAGATCTTCTGAGGTTCTGGGGACCCTCTTCCCTCCGTCTTCTCTTCCTCGCGGTGCTGTACTCCAGTGCCCGGAATTTTGGAAAGGCTCTTTCTTGGCTGCTTACCACTCTGCCGTCTACCTGGCAAAGGAAAAGGAAGTCAGTCCTTTTCCTCTTGATAGCAAAGGATTGCCTAACTTTCCCTTCTTTCAGTTTTAATTATTGTTGGTAATAGCTTCTGAAATTCATGGGACATTCATAATGAAAATGACAGAAGCATCAGGACAAAGCAGCGTGACGTCAAAAGGGCACAAATGGGTTTTCAGCATAGGAAAGCTCAGAAATCAAGGCCCCCTTGTGGTTCTTTATTCAACGTGCCTGGTGCCCTGGACAGTGGACTGATTGTAGCCTAACTGCTCACAAGGAATAGAGACGAAATAGAAGATCTGAGAACTAGAGAAGATGAGCAGGAAGCAGGCCCAGGATCAAGACTTAGTCAACAG